CTCCTCCTTTATCCGGGCTTGGGACCGGCTACTTCAATGTTCTCATTTCGAGTAGGCGGAGTTAAAAATTGTACACGAACAACTTGTTACGTGTACAGTTTTTTTTTAAAAATTATAAAGGTATTAAAATAAAAATTCGTCATAAATATGATTAAACTAAATATCACTTACTTGACTACATGCAATTTCGGCATATTTATTTTGCAGTCGAAAATGAGCGTCTTACCAGTCGTTCACGCACATTAATGTTTCCAAAACATCTTCTTTTAGTCGATTCCTAACATCAGAGAGAACCCTAGACCCTGCACTAAAAGCAGATTCCGAAGCTACAGTGCTAACCGGAGGTGTTAGTAGATCTTTTGCCATTGCAGAAACTATTGGCCATCGGCATTTATACTTTCGCCAGAAGTCAACTACTTCTTCTGAATTTTTCCTTAATACATTGTTACTAGGCCAATTATGATTAAAGTAATCAAGTAATTCAGCAGGCAACGCATTTTGACTAGTACATGCAGTAGAAGACAAACTACTATGACTGGAGGAATCATATGCATTTCCAATTTGACCATATCTATATGAGTTCATACCTTCAAATCCGAAGTTAAAGATATTACACCCCCATATTTTTCTAAATCGACAATCAATGTTTTCTTTGCATTTAAAAAATATTCTATTGTATCAGAACGAAGAGTATTTTGACTTACCCCAGCGTACCTCGGTTGAAGACATTCTTTGACAAATGTAACGAAATGTTGGTTGTCCGTTTGTGCTAGTGGCAACTCAGATCCGGCAATGTACTTCACCATTCCTGTTCGAGTTCTTTCCTCTGAATACATCCACGTATTAAGTGGCGTAGTAGTAGTAGCACTGCTGCCTGAAGTACCAAATTGTAGTTGCGTTTGACTAGCAGGAAGAAGACCATGTTTGGCCGTACATGCTTTGTAGTGACGGTTGAGGTGGGTGGTTCCAATGCCTTTTTGATGAGCCAATTGTTGTTGACAGTATTTACATACTGCTTTGGTTTCTGGAATTCCATCGACCATACGACCAGTTTGAACCAATTTAAAATGATCCCAACATTTTGCATGCTTCTTTACCTTTCTCTTCCCTCTTGCATCGGGAATTTCAATAACAGGTTCATCATCCTGTTCCAAATCAATTGGAGCCTCAGCATCAATGTCATCCAAATTAATTTGATGACTACTTTCATGAACATTGTAATCTTCAATATTTTCTGGAATGGGTACTTCATTTAGACCGACGAACTCATTCCCATATTGATTCCCATATTGATTATGGGACACATTTGCTTCATTTCCGACTCCGACATCGAACAAGTTTTCAATAAATGAACGTGAATCCAGTTGTGATTAATTGAAATTGAATGTTGAAGAAAAAGAAGTGAAGTAGAATTGAGAAATGAATGAAGATTATGTAGTAGTGTAGAAACTTTATTGTAAAATCAAGATTATAATTTAATGATATGAATATAAAATGTAGAAGAGTATAGAAATGAGAATGAATGAATGAATAATACTGATAATAATTGAGTTGTAGAGAGTATAGTGGAGAATAAGAGATTGATAGTAAGTTTGGTAAGAAAAAATGTTGTAATTGATGGGTATTTATAGGAAGAAAATGAAATTTGAAAAAAAAAATATCAGGGACCAAAATGGTCACTGACAAAATTCAGTGACCGTTCGGTCAAAAGTGACCGAACGGAAGTTCAGTGACCGTTCTGGTCACTGAAATAAAAAATTTTTTTTTTTTTGGACGAGCCACGAGCCTGCTCGGCTAATGGCTGCTCGGTGAGCAGTTCGCCGAGCGGCTCGTCAATCAATTCATAGGTTCGGCTCGTTGCTCGGGTTCGTTTTTTACAAGCCCGAGCGGCTCGTGGCTCGTTTTAGGCGAGCCGAGCCCACGAACTACTCGGGCCCATTGCCACCACTAGGCTCAAACGACCTAGGGTGCTAGATATACTCCCTCCGTCCCATTTTGTATAGGCTAATTTTATTTTTCATACAGATTAAGAAAATTTTATTTAATGTTACTAAAAAAATAATTTTTGCCAAAAACATTCCTTATTTACCCTTATTTAATTATCAACAACTAGTAATAAATTATTGTGAGAAGTATTAAAGAATTTGAATGATTTAATTTTCAAGAAGTAGGTATCTCTACATTTGTACAATTTTAAGATTAAACGTGGAAATTTTGTTATAAATAAACAAATTAAATAAGAATTTATTAGTAAATATACAAAATAAAATCTTCTTAATCAAGAAACAAGAGTATATAATTGGAACAATAAAATAAGGAAAGTCGACATATATAAATGAGACAGAGGGAGTATCAACTTTATTTAATATTTTCGGTTCATTTTCATATACAATATTCTCTATTATTTCGCATCATGAATAAGATAGAATTTTCCTTAAGAAATACTTAGAATTCCTTGTATTGGAGTCTTAATAATTTGATTAGTAGTTCATATAATCTTTAAATATCATCGTTTCATAATTTCAATAGGATGACTAATTAAACAAAAACGTTATACTATACATACGTAATTGCTCCCAAGTACATT